AGTTTGACATTCAAACAAGAAAATACTATCGCAGATGAATCGGTTGTTGATCTGTTGATGTTTTTAAATAAGAAGCTAGATGCTGCAGTTGCAAATGCACGACTTTCTTGTGGACAAAACCCACTACAGTAACTTGTTTTAATTATTGGGGATGGTCGGTTACATGAGAAGGTGCCTCTTTATTTTTTTGGAAAGAAAAAACAAGTAAAAGGGATTCCGTGCTGATTCTTTTTGTCCAATCCTAGCTGATTAAAATGCTTTGTTTATTTACTCGTGTTTATTCATTATGTATGCAGGAGAACTTGAAGCGGTGTGTTAGGAGAACTTGAAGCGGTGTGTTAGGGATGTCTTAAGTTTCACGAATCTAAGGAAGAGTTTTGAATCTCACATCGAACATAATAGGAGGGTCACTGGGGTGTAAAAGGGTTTATATCATCTCTTACTTGTAAGACGCTTTTTGTATGATAAAATCGTGAGGTAATGGGGCCAAAGCGGATAATATCTCACAAGGGTGTGAACCGTGGCAGGTAAGTTGATCCGGGATGTCGGATGAGTGGATGTCCGATTCCCATGAGCCGCGCGGGTTCGGAGCTTAAGTCTCGACCCGTGACAAGTGGTATCAGAGCCAGTCCTAAACCGTTCAATCTACGCCAAGCGCCTCAAGGGAGGTAAGCAGGGTGGCCAGCCTCCGTGACGAGAGCGTCACGAGGTTGGGTGCGGAAGAATGTCACGGACCTAAGGAAGAGTCTTGAATCCGACATCGAACATAATAGGAAGGTCACTAGGGTATAAAAAAGTTTACATGGGAGAATGTCACGGACTTAAAGAAGAGTCCTGAATCCCATATCGAACATAATAGAAGGGTCACTGGGGTATAAAAAGGTTTACACTATCTCTTCCTTGTGAGGACCTAAAGAAGAGTCCTGAATCTCACATCGAACATAATAGGAGGGTCACTGGGGTATAAAAGGTGAGGCCAGGGGGTCAAAGCGGACAATACCTCACAAAGGTATGAACCGTGGCAGGTAGGCTGATCGGGACGCCGGATGAGTGGATGCCCAGGTCTCGAAACCGTGTGAATTTGGAGCTTAAGTCTCGACCTTTGACATTAAGTAGTAAGCTGAATGGTTGCTTTCCTAATTCTTGATAGCCTGCAGGAATCAATCATGGACCTTCAGGTACATTGTGGCTTGCAATCTTTGCCTGAAAACATTAAAATTCCTTTATTGCCATGGTTTGATTCTCTTTACACCCTTGTTTTTGGTCTACAGGAAGTAATTCCTATTCAGCACAAGAACAATCAATTTAAAATCTCTGTTTCAAAGTATCTAGATTCTTTTCCCTTCACATACTATGTTGTGTTGAGGAATATTGAAGCACTTCCCAAGACCCTAGCAGATTTATTGAGACAGGTAATTCGACTCTAGACGATTATTTGTATGTATGCTGAATTTATTTGTTCGATTAGCATGAGTGAATCTTGCTTTTCTCTTGTTGGTGGCAGTGGTTTGAGCTTATGCAGAATTCAAGAGACTAGACAGTGCTGTTGACTGTTCAATTGAGATGTGGAGAGGTCAAAGATAGGAAGAATGAGGAAATCTCAGCACATGTAGCTAATTTAAGAGCTGCGGACAAGGAGCCGAAAATGTTGAACAATCCAAATACTTTGTAGGTGCAAATATGATAGAAAACTGTATATAGAAGGCAGTACGGTAAGGTTCATTCCTTCACGTGCTTAACCTTATGTTTGGCTTGAGGGAAAGAGAAGGAAAAAAAAGGAAAATAGAGGAAAGTAATGAAAATAGAAAAATCATTCATTTGTTTGGATAAACTTTTACACAATGTTTAGATAAATATTAATAAAGAAAAAAAAAAGTAAAGTAAAAGAAAATTTTTTAAAAGAAAAGAAAGGATATATATATATATATATATATCTTGTTTGGATAATTAAAATTAATAAAGAAAGGAAAGGAAATAAATTTTAATAACCATTGTTTGAATAAAGAGTGAAAAAGAAAGGAAATGATTTATTATAATAATTTTTTTTATTTATAACATTTCATTACTTGTAATTTTAGAATACTCTTGGATTAGAATATGTTTGTTATCTTGTTTGGCCTCATAATTGCTATTATATTAATAATTTTTATATTGAAAGAGACATGTAAAATTTACTTGAAAAAAGACATGGTTTTGAAAAAATTATAAGAAGATTGTGATGTGATTAAGTTTTTTTGATTTGATTTTTAGTATTAATAAAAAGATGAATATAATAGTCTTTTTATAAATTTTTTTTCAATTTTCTTTTCTTTAGCTTTTCTCCCAAAATGATATATTAAAAAAGTTAGGAATATATTGAAAACTCAAGGTTATTGAGTTTTCACCTATTTTTTTTCTTTTAAATTAAAAATTTATTTAAACAAAGGAAGGGTTTTTCTGTTTTCATTACTTTATTTTATTTTCCTTTCTTTCACTTTCTCTCAATCCAAATATAATGTTAATTTAAAGGAAATGAAAGAAGTGAAAACTTAATAACATTTGGTTTCTTTATAATCCTCATTTTTTTAATACCCAATTTAGGGGAAAAGTTAAGGAAAAGAAAGTTGAAAAAATTTTATTTTTATAAAAAAATTATTATATCCATATTTTTATTATAACATTAGATTTTATTGTATAACTGACAGTTCTTACAAAAAATAATTTTTTTATGAGTATTTTATATAACATCACAGTTTATAAATATTTTATAATTTTTCTAGTATTAACATCAAAACAAGTCATATTATTGTTAGCATAAATTAAAAGTCTAAATTAAACATAAAATTAAAAGTAAATCAATAATTAATTAATACATTTTATTATATTAAACGTGTTCAATTTTGTTTAAAAAGATTTGTTTGTTCAAGCTAAATAGTATAAAAATATATTTTTATATTATATGTTATTTTATAAAAAAAGGGTTATAATTGAAAAAAAATATTATAATAAATTATTTCTTTTTTTTTACTATTTATCTAAATAATGATTGTTAGAATTCTTTTCATTTTTTTTTATTAATTTTAACTATTCAAATAAGAGTTATATATACTCTTTCTATCTTTTAAAAAACTTTTTTTTTCTTTCCTTTCTTTTATTTTATTTATCCAAAATAGCGTAAAAAAAATTTTTTCATGTAACGCACATGTGTGCAGGAAAATTACCGTATCATTTATGGTAAAATTAGAAGATTTGGTTAAACAAGTAAACCAGTTGTATTTGTAGATGCATAGTTGGAAGTATACTTGTGGAAAAGAAACTGTAAAAAAGAGTTACTATTTAACTTACAATTTTAAAAGACATGTCAAATAAAAATGATACGAAAAAATATATGAAAATAATACGATTTAAAATTTTAATAAAAATTATAAGAGTTTGACAAAAAAATATTTTGTATTTGTTGTATTGATATGAATTATTAGGTAATAGATTTTATATTTTATTTATGTTAAATACGAAGTGAATAAATAAGCAATTATTAAGTTTAGTTATTATTTTGTTTTTGTTTCCGGAGCCTTGCTTCACCAAAATGTCAAAAAGTTATTTAGTGACGACATTATTCAAGGGGAGTAATACTTGAGTGAATAATTGCACATGCAGGACCAAATTGAAATCAACTAAAAGACTTATGAATTATGATGCGGACAATTAAAAATATGTTTTCCGAAAATGGGGAGTTACCCTAATATTATCCCCATAAAAACTGGGTTAGAGGAGAGGGTTATTGTATGAACATGAGACTTAATATCGACGATGGTAAAGTGGAATATCCAGACGTTAAAAGATGAAGACTTGCTTTGCTTGGCTGCTGATGAAGAGGGGAGAATTCCACTCAACTTAAAAGAATTGATCGGTGCATAGGCTGACTCGAAAGGAAAATTATCATATCATTTATAGTAAAATTAGAAAGATACAACTGGTCAAACGAGTAAATCAGTAATATAAGTCGTTTAATTTGATTTCAATTTTTGGGTCCACTTACTCCTATTTATAGTTGGACCTAGAATTTCAAATCAAATTAAACGACTTTTCCGTATGGTTGTAGGAAATTTTCAATGTCTTAAAATCTTTGTCACCACACTTCAAATGACTCTAAATCGGGCAAATTGACAAATTAGTTTTCTTAAATAGATTTAATAATTCTTATCATCGTATTATGTAAAATATTATATTTGTATCATATATTACATAAAAATTATGTGTCACGATTTATTTTGATATGAAAATATAAAATATAATTTTGTTATTTATTAAACTTATTTATGATTTTTTTAAAATTATAAAATTCATTAGTTTTATTTTTTTATTTGTATCATTTTTATATTATATCATTATATCATATTTCAAATTGTTAATTTTATTTTTAAGTTCCGAAATACCAAAAAAAAAATGTAATTAATAACCCACAACCCTGACGGTGGCTACGTATTTGTCCCTCGCAATCTGCAAACAACTCTTTTGTTATTCGGCAATCAAATAACAGAAGCTACTTGCAATGAAAATCATCTATGTGAAGCTGGAACTGCTTTGATATATCCTTCTAGTAAGTCTTCATTAAAATTTTATTATTGTTGGATAATTGTATGTTCTTCTGTATTGCACAACACCAAATCAAAGTAACATCTGCTGAAAGTATCGTATGTAAAGAAGTTAAGTCATGACGTAATCTATTAATAAAATAATAAATTTTTAGTTCAAAATTCAAATATTAGTTGTTTTAAATATATTAAAAAAAAAAAAAGAGTCAAGCAATGAACAAATTCAAGGGAAAAGTCTTTGTACGCAATGGACAAATTCAAGGAAAAAGTCTCTCCTTTGAACAATGTAAATGGACCATGCATGTTGAAGAGTTGGATTGGAACCCAAAATAGAAGACCAAGACATTAAAAGATGGAGACTTGCTTGGTGAAAATAATCAAACCTAAACATAACAAAGATCGAGAGAGAAAGAGAGAGTTACTGAGATGAGACCCAAGGAAGAGCACCCTCCAAGGTTCGGTGAAGAAGTAGAAAGGAGGCTTAATGACGATAAGTTGCTTCAGCTCTATGAAGCAGCCTTGAGTGGTTCTCTCCCCACCTTGACCATGTTGATCCGAAATGATCCCCAAATTCTGCACAGAGTATCTCTCTCTTCCTAACCTGAAACTCCATTGCATGTATCAGCTTTGTCTGGCCATCTTGATTTTACCAAAGCTCTCTTGACTCGAAAACCTGAACTTGCATCCCTACTGGACTCTTTCAAATGCTCACCTCTTCACCTAGCACCCGCCGAGGGCCATACAGAGATTGTAAAAGCTTTGTTGCGAGCAAATAAAGAGGTTTGCTTGGTTGCTGATGAAGAGGGGAGAATTCCACTCCACCTAGCAGCAATGAGGGGAAAAGTTGAGATCATACAAGAATTGGTCGATGCACAGCATGACTCGATCCGTCAAAAACTGAATGGGAGTACTGTTCTACACCTATGTGTTCAATTCAACCAGTTAGAGTCTCTAAAGCAGTTGGTATCACTGGTGGATGAGAACCAACTTCTCGATTATACGGACCATGGAGGCAACAGCATATTGCATTTGGCTGTCATGCCAAGGCAGTTAGAGGTAAATTTAACTTCAAATTCTGTGTGTTGATTCCTTGGTTATAATGAATAGTAGCCAGTAATTCATTAATTAATTAACTAGTTGTGTTCCTGCAGACCATAACATTCTTGGTTTCGGTGCCTGAAATAAAAGCAAAGATAAATGTCTTAAACAAGATGGGTTTGAACGCCCTGGATTTGTTAAACCATTATCCAAGAGATTTCAAGAGCCTTGAAATTGGAGAAATTCTTATCAAAGCTGGAAGTAGATCAACTCCAAGCCAATCACAATTAGGTCCACTTGCTGTAGGTGGGAGACCCAAGTGGAGGCAGTGAAGTCGAGGTCGTTCACCTCCGGGTTGAGAGGGAAAACAAAGTCAGTGTACCAAAAATGCAAGAGCTACTTCAAACATCAATCCGATAGGGTGGAGGAGATGCGGGGGACATTGATGCTGGTTGCAAAGTTAACCGCAACCATTTCTTTCCAAGTAGCAACCAACGGGTGTTTGGCAACAAGATTACACAAACTTAACCGCTGGTAAATTCAGTTGCAGTGTGGATTATGAAAAATGTGTAGCTGGAACCGCTGTGCAGGCCTACGTTAACCCTAAAGAGTACCTGTTGCTCACAATTGTAGCGATTATCTCTTTCATTGCATCTCTGAGTGTTGTCCTTCTAGCGATCAGTGGGCTTCCTCTCAAGAACAAGCTTTGCACATGGCTTATGACAATAGCTATGATCATTGCAATTACGTTCGTTTTACTTACCCTCGCAGGTGCGATTGTGGTAGTGACCCCTGATCATATCCTTTCTACAATTGCCGAGGCATTAGTTGTTACAGAGATTATCTGGATTGCTTTGGTTGGAATTGTTGCTGTGTTTGCCACCATCCGCCTTCTCTTTTGGCTATTCAGTCTTCTGAGCAAGTTAATAGGCTTCTTAAGGAAAATGCTATCACGTCCAACGAGGAACCAAGCTCTCATCTGTTGATCAAGTATAATTTTGAAAAAAAAAATTCGAATAATCACTATTTATCTCGTATATTGTTATGGTTAATGTTGCGTTTTTTTTTTGGATTAAGAGCCTTTGCCTAATCGTAGTTTATGTTGGAGGTGAGTCTATGTTCATTGTGGTATTTAGTATCCATATACTATCGATGTATAGATGTATAAACTATTAATGTAAGGTAAATTATTATATCATATTTAAAATTTTAAAGTGCTTAAAAATAAATATATTTAAATATTAAATTTATTAAAACTTTTTAAAATTTAATTTTACTCATTAATAAAGTGACTGTATGTGAGACACTGATAACAAATCAAATTTTATTATGTTCAGTGCATCAAATATTATTGTGTTGATATATTTGTAACCTTCTGCCTTTGGGGATTGTCGTAATTATATTATTTTTCATGTAATTTTATTTTTAATGATATAATACATTAATATCATGATATTTGAAATAACATTTTTATTAAAATAATATTATTTTTATTTTTTAATAATAAAAAATGATAATAAATAATTTTTAATGCAAAATCCTAATGCAAAATATTGATAATTATTAATATCAAATAATTAAATGAATTTAGTTTATTTAACTTTAATAAATAGTTCATGTTTACTTATATAGTTTTATGTTAAACAAGTAAAATGAGCTTTTACAAAATTTGAGAAATTTATTAAAATTTCCTTTTTCTTCCTAATGCATATAATTCACTATTAGTTGGTTAATTTTTCCTTTTTGGTAAATCTATTAGATAGTTTTTTCATTTTTGGTATTTTCTATGTCATAACATATGAGTTTGGGATTTTGACAGCAGGATAAAAAATTTAAAGATCAAAATAAAGATAGGCCACCAACATTTTTTGTTAGGGATAACTGGTTATCTTAAAAATTTATCCTTTTCATAAAATCTTAAAATTGGTTTAAAATTTATAAAAATTTTATAAAAACAGAGTAAGATTTGAGAGTACAATTATTCATGGAGAAATATTATAGTACTTTATATCGTTCATTTTAAAAATAATACTAATTAATTATGTGTTATCATTTCGATATTGAATAAAAATGATTCCAACTTGATATTTAATAATAATTTTTTTTACTTTTTAAAATCAATTTTATTAAGTAAAAATGAAAATTTGGTTTAAGAATAAAATTAAAATCTTGAGATTAAAAAATTATTTTATAACTCCCATCATTTAGGTGAAATTTAGAGATAAACTTTTTTGTCTAAGATTTATCATAATAATTTTTAAAACAAAAATAATATTTTTTATAGATGATAATTATTGGTAACACTCTAACATCTAAGTAAAGTACTAAAAATTATTTCTTTTTAAATGTTATTTGAATTTTATTTCACAAAATATATTTAAAAAAAAAATTCATGCAACAAAAACTAGTGATGCAACTATTAACAAATAAACATTAGTAATAAAATGAAATTAATCAATTATTTAAGAATAATTATATTTTTTTTACTTTTTTTTAATTAATAATCAAAGAGCCAAAAATTATATTTTTAAATAAGAGAGGACAAAGTGTCTTTGAGAGGGCTTTTTAGATTTTACCCCGATTATTTGTGTCATGAGTCAATTTTGGTTTTCTCTTGCTGGTGACACTGGCTTGAGCTTATGCAAAATTCAAGAGATTAGACACTCTGTTCAATTGAAGGATAGATATATGTGGAGATGTCAAATAGAGGATGAATGAGGAAATATCCAGCATAATATGTAGCTAATAATGTAAGAGTTGCTAACCGGGACCTGAAGATGATGAACAATCGACATACTTTTGTAGGTACGTACAAATATGATAGAAAACTGAATATAAAAGTTCATTACTTCACGTGTTTAAAGAAAAAATTTCATTTAACGCACACAAAAAGGAAAATTACCGTATCATTTATAGTAAAATTACAAATATAAAACCGGTCAAAAGAGTAAACCATTTGTATACGTAGATGAATAGTTGGAAAAGAAACAATAAAAATGACGGGACCCAGAAATTGAAATCAATTAAACGACTCTTCAAGATGGTTATATCTGAATTATGATGCGAACAAACAAAAATATGGTTTCCCTGAATGGGAAATACCTATAGTACCCGGTTGGAGTGGAGGGTTCTAGTAATTAAGAAACTGAGATATGAAATTGACGAAGGTAATGTCGGTTTTGTTTTGGGTCCTAGGTAAAAGTCCACTGCTACTCTCCATCGTGCTTGTTGCATTTACATTGTTTTAAGTCACCGAGATGAGACCCAATGAAGATAAGAAATCAAGTCCAACTAAATAAGGTTGAATGGTGTAAATGAAAGAAGAAAAAAATAGTGAAAAGGAAAGGAAAGGAGGGAGGAGAGGAGGAGCCACGACGGCTGGGATGAAAAGAACATTTCTGTTCCTTTTTGGTCTTTCTCGATTCTTTTATTTTCTTTATTAAGCGTGATAACGATTCGTTTAGGACAAAAAAAATTCATTTCAAAAGAGAGGTGCTGGGACGTTTCCGATTGGCAGGAAATAGGAATGTTCTAACACTACTGTTATTTTTTTAGATCCAAGACAGAAATAAAGATAATTAAAGGAGAGGTGATGGGAGGCACTGAAAAGAACGTCTCAACACCCTTTACTTTTTCAGTTTTTATTATAGATCATGTAGTGTATCCTTCTGCTATAGCCAGCAGCAATCAAAGCAATCTTAGTTGTATTGATTATATGTAAGGAAGTCAAGCAGTGGACAAATTATTCTAGGTCAAAGTTGTTGGGGAACACCACAGCTCTGATATCATTTGTTAGGCTAAAAGCCTTCAATCCAATCACACCAGCGAAAGCGAAATCAAACAATAAATCAAACACATAAGAGACAACAATTTAACGTGGTTCGGTCCAATTGACCTATATTCACGGATGAGAAAAAAGATCCACTAGTTGTAGAGAATTACAAATATATATCAAATCATCAATCTCACTCAACAATCAATACTCATAAGACACTCTCAATCTCCTCTAGTCTTATGTAGTATTCTCAACCCAAACAAACACAAACCCAAACCTTTGTGCACCCTTTCAACACAACCAAACACATACCAATATGTTCCCATACATCATACCTATGTGGACCCTCTCAGTTTCCTCTAGTCCACTCACAAACAAACATACACACCTATAAGACGTAGAGCCCCAATACTCCTATGGGGTGTCTATCCCACAAAACCCTACAACTCTCTTACATCTTTTTTTCATACCTAACCCTGTAGAGACTTCACCTATTTATAACTATACAAACTTGCCCATTAAGAATTTCTCTCCTCTTAGAATTCTTCTCTTGTAAGTTAAATTTTCCTCTTAGAATTCTTCTCTTGTAAGTCAAACTTGCCTATTAAGAATCCTCTTTCCCTTGGAATTCTTCTTTTGCAAGTCTTCTTGTTCATAAAACAATATCTGACAAATCCAAAACAAATCTCAAATAAATATCTTATGAGATTTGAGTCAATATTCCCAACAAAAGTCTATGTATCCTTAAAACAAAGTAAATGGATCATGCGTGTTGGAGAATTGGACGGGGACCCAAAGAGAAGATCAGGACTTTTAAAAGGAGACTTGCTTGGTGAATTCAAACTTAAAAGACTACAAAAATCGAGAGAAAAGACGAGTTTTACCGAGATGAGACCCAATCAAGAGCACTCACCAAGGTTCGATGAAGAAGTCGAAAGGATGCGTAATGACTATATGTTGCTTCAGCTCTATGAAGCGGCTTAAGCGGTTCTCTCCCCACCTTGACCATATTGATCCGAAGTGATCCTCAAATTCTGCATAGAGTTTCTCTTTCTTCTCAGCCTGAGAATCCATTCCACATAACAGCTTTGTCTGGTCATCTTGATTTTACCAAAGCTCTCTTGACTGTAAAACCTGAACTTGCATCCTGGCTGGACTCTTTCGAATGCTCACCTCTTCACCTAGCTTCCACCGAGGGCCATACAGAGATTGTCAAAGCTTTATTGCCAGCAAATATAGAGGTTTGCTTGGTTGCTGATGAAGAGGGGAGAATTCCACTCCACTTAGCAGCAACGAGGGGAAAAGTTGAAATCATACAAGAACTGATAAATGCAAAGCCTGACTCGATCCGCCAAAAACTTAATGGGAGTACTTTTCTACACCTATGTATTCAATACAACCAGTTAGAGGCTCTAAAGCAGTTCTTAACACTGGTGGATGAGAATCAACTTCTGGATTTTACAGACCATGGAGGCAACACCATATTGCATTTGGCTGTCATGCTAAGGCAATTAGAGGTATATTTAAATTGAAAATTCTGTGTTGATTCCTTGAATTTATACATATGCTATTACTTTTGTACTTATAATTAACAACATATATATGTGTATCAAGTGTATAAATTCGTTCAATCAAGTAACTGAACAGTTGTAAATCATGATTTATGCCAATTGCTGATCAATTTGAAATTTTGAATAAATTAAAACGTGTACCTGAATCGAAAGATAGTAATTCCCACTTTGTTAGTTTTGTTTGGAAATTGATATTTTGGACTTAAATTAACTAGTTGTGATCCTGCAGACCATAACATACTTGGTTTTGGTGCCTGGAATAAAAGCAAAGATAAATGTCCGAAACAAAATGGGTTTGAGCGCCCTGGATTTGTTAAAACATTATCCAAGAGATTTCAAAAGCCTTGAAATTGGAGACATTATTCTTATCAAAGCTGAAAGTAGAAGATCACCTGAGGACCCAAATCCAGCAAAGACGGTTCCAATTGCTGTAGGTGGGGAGATCCAAGCAAAGGAAGTAAAGTCGAGGTCGTTCACCTTCTGGCTGAAAGGGAAAACAAAGTCAGTGTACCAAAAATGCAAGAGTTACTTCAAACATCAATCTAATTGGGTCGAGGAGATGCAGGGACCATTGATGGTGGTGGCGACGTTAACCGCAACCGTCTCTTTCCAAGTTGCAATCAGCCCACCTGGCGGGGTTTGGCAACAAGATTACACAGACTTAACGGCTTGTGGATTCAATCGCAGTGTGGATTATGGAAAATGTGTAGCTGGAAAAGCTATGTTGGGTTATGTTAATCCTCTTCTCTACCGCTTGTTCACAATTTACGCTATTGTCTCTTTCATTTCATCTCTGAATGTTGTCCTTTTAGCCATCAGTGGGGTTCCTCTTAAGAACAAGCTATGTACATGGCTTATGACAATAGCTATGATTATTGCAATTACGTCCGTTTTATTAACATTCGTATTTACGATTGTGATAGTCACCCCTGATCATATCATTTTTAAAACTGCTAGGGCATTAAATGTTACAGGCTTTATCTGGATTGCTTTGGTTTGAATTGTTGCAGTGTTTGCCACCATCCGCCTTCTCTTTTGGCTATTTATTCTTCTGATCAAGTTAATAGGCTTCTTAAGGAAAATGCTATCACGTCCATTAAGGAACCAAGCTCCCATATGTTGAGAAGTATAACTTCAAAAAAAAAAATAAAAATCGAATAATCACTAGTTATCTCGTATGTTATTATGGTTAATGTTACGTGGTTAATGTTGTGTTTTTTTGGATTAGGAGTTATGTTGTGTTTTGTTGGATTAGGAGTCTATGTCTAATCGTAGTTTATGTCGGAGGTGAGTCCATGTTCATTGTGGTATTTAGTATCTATTCACTATTAGCATATAGATATATACACTACTAGTAGCTTATTTAACCCGTACAATGTATGAGATTTTTTTATTAAATTTTTCATAATTTTAAATTTATTTTTTAATTATTTATCTAATATATAATTATATATTTATAAATGCTAAGTTACAATTAAATGATAATTTATACATAATATATTATAAATGATATTGTTCATCTAAAAGAAGTTTAAACTTTTGTAAATTTTTAAAAATTATAAAAATTCTTTTTTTCATTAAAAAATGTTTTCTTCAATTTATTTGTTAAATACAAAAAATTTTGCTACAACCTTTTTCTTATTTGATAAAAAAATAAAAAATCAATATTTAAATAGTTAAGATTAATAATTATTTTTATCATAATGTTGATTGGCTGGTGTGTGTGTATATATATATATATTTGATTGAACAACAAATCACAATTATTAATTTTATTATAATCATTTGCTTTTTATTAGTTCTTATTTTTGACATACTTCACATAATTATTACACAAATATATTGGGCTAACAATTATTTCTATATATGTCAACAAAATAAAGTTATTTTTTAGATAAAAGAGAAACAATAATTCTTTATGTTATGCTTACAAAATTTTTTTTGAAATATTTTTTATTTTTAATCATTTTTAACATAATTGTTAGTATTTTTTGTGAGTTAGATATGGTAGCGATCATCATTTTTCTCATATCATCTATTGTAGATAAAGAAATTCAATAATAAAAAGTATAGTAAAAGAAAATAGAGAATATCAATCTACATATTAATTTGTCAAGATTAAATATATACAATAATAAAAGTAAATATGTTAATAAATTAATAGAGAATAAAAACATTGAAGAAATGAATAAAACAAAAAAAATATAATATAAAAAGTTAATTATAATCAATCTAAGCAAAATTAAAAAAAAAAATGTTATGGACTTAAGAGAAACAAATAAATTAACCAAAGATATAATATAAAAATATTTGAGTAAGAACATAAATAAAACATTTTATTTGTTTCCAAAGTAAAAACATATTTTTATCTAACTTTTTTATCAATATTTAAAAATCTCATATTTTCATATAAAGATATAAGTTTTTATTATTTTAAAAATATATTCTTTCTAGTCAAAAATTTATTAACTTATCTAAAAATATTAAATTTAAATAATCTATTAAATAATTTTTAATTTTTGATAATTTTTAATTTGAATTTAAATAATTATCTAAAAATATTAAATTTAAATAATTTATTAAATGGAATTATTTGATAGAAAATAAAATTTTATTAGGTATATATATTTAAAACTGTCATTAAATTTAAAAAGGAAAGATAAAATATGATTTAATATACTAGAATTCAAATCTTAGGCAAAAATTTCAATTTTGGATAGATTTTGATTTTAATTTAAATAATTATCCAAAATATTCAATTTAAATAATTTATTAAAAAATTTTATTTGATAAATAAAATAATATAAATATTATCCTATGTGTCATTAAAAGAGATTATCCACCTAGGAATCCACATAAGTAATTTTGATCATGTAACTTTGTATGTTGTAATATAATATATATACTAGATTATAACTTGTACGATGCATAAAATAATTTTACTTATTTAATATGAATATATATATATAAATTAGTTTCTTTTCAAAATTATATTCAAATTTTTAAAACTCATAGCATATATAAACTTTATATATATTGACTTATCATTAAAAAATAAAGTTTATGAAAATAGTAAGAAAAAAATTATGCTTTTCATTTGAATATTTTTGTTTACAATAATATTTATACACTTGTAAGATTATATTAAATAAAAATAAATTATGTCTTTTTTAAAAAATAAAAATATATATTACTGAATGATAAATTAAATAATAAAAGAAATATTAACATACTTTCACTTTAGTAATCTTGACTAAATTATTATTCAAATATGAAAAATGTTAGAAATTATGTGAAAGAAGAAAAAATAAATTGAAAAAATATTATTTTTCATAAGAATGAAACTGTAATAATAATAAAATATATCTTAGAAAAAAATTATAAACAAAAAAATTGCAATAGTAATAAAATATACTTTGAAAAAAATTACTAAAAAAATAAAATAAAATGATGTATAATACATTACATTTGTAGTTTAAAATTTGTATAAGAATTTTTTAGTGGCAATTAAAATTAAATAGATAAATTTTAAATTAATTTTTTAAATTTTAAAATGGATATAATAAATGATAAAGATAATATTAATTTTTTTGCATTTATTTGAAATATAAATTTGATAAGTAGAGTTTAAATGGATATAATCGTTTTTATAATCTTATTATTTAAAAATTTAAGATGAAAATTTTTTGAATTTTTAAAATTTTACATAAAGTCGCTTGAATTTTTAATGTCTCACGTAAATTTTTTCTTAAAAAATAATTTTTTAAATCAAGATAAAAAAATATTATTGAAAAATTCAGATAAACTTAATCTTTGTAATTTTTAAACATGTTTGAAAGATTTTGATAATTAAATAATTTTTTAAATCAAGATAAAAAAATATTATTGAAAAATTCAGATAAACTTAATCTTTGTAATTTTTAAACATGTTTGAAAGATTTTGATAATTAAATAATTTTTTAAATAAAATTATTTGGTAAACAACTAAAATTATTTATTAAAAAAATAAAATCTATATTTTGTATTTTTAATTTTAAAAAATAGATATCTAAATTGATTTGATTTTTAATTATAATTTGAATAATTTTGATATTTGAATAAATTTAAAATTATCTAATTTATAATTAAAAGAAACTATCTTAATTGTTTTAAAAAACTATCTTATGTGTCATTTAAGAAAGTTATTTATATAGGCGTCCACATGAAAAACTTATTTATGTATATTGTTATATAATTAATATATATATATATATATTAGTGTATTGTAAATTATTACATCATATTTAAAATTTTAATGTGCTTAAAAATAAATATTTTTAAATATTTACTTATATTAATTTTTTAAAAATTTTAATTTTATTCATTAATAAAGTAATGGCATGTAAAAACGCTAATAATGTATATTGATAATACATGAAATTTTGTTGCGTTTAGGGCATCAAATATTATTATGTTGATATTGTGACACCCCAATCTCACATGGGGATAATTTGAGTTTCTTTTATGATATATATGTTGATATCTAAATCCAAACTTATGAGACGTTTTTTGTGGGATAAAATCGTAAGACTTTCAAGTCAAAACGGATAATATCTCCAAGGTTGAGTGCGGGTCTCCACAAATGGTATCAAAACAGGTCAATAATCAGACGGGAGGTAAGTGCTATACCGTGGGAGCCATTTCTAGAATCCTACGAGAGCTAAGCATCACATGGTGGGAGTTACCTATAGAATCCTAACATCTACTGTAATCTTGTGATCTGTGTTACTTTGTGCTGGGCTTGCCCAATATTTGGTGTGATTCGATGGATTTGTGTGCTTTGTGTTAAGTTCGCCCAATATTTGGTGTGATTCAATGGATCTATGTTGGGCTTCATGAGGATGTTAAGCTTTAACGGAGGGAGTTTGTGACACTCTAATCCCATATCGGGATAATCTAAGGTTCTGATATGATATATATGTTGAAATCTAAATCCAAACTTGTAAGATACATTTTGTTGGATAAAATTGTGAGACTTTCGAATTAAAATAGGCAATACTTTGTAAGTTGAGTATGGGTCTCCACAAATGTTTAATCTATCATGCTCCAAACCCAAAAATTTATAATGTAATAATGCTGCATACTTGTGAGATGAATCTCACAAGCATACAAGGCAACAAATATCAAACTAAATCAAAATCTCCAATAATCTCCTAAATAATACTTCACAGAATTTCAAGTATACAAAATTATACTCTTTGAAAGTTGGTGGAATATACTAAAGTTCTTACTTATAATTTTTTTAGATCAATAATAAAATACTCACTTTAAAAGCGATACCAAACTAAAGACAGATGCTAATCTTGCTAATCTAAGAAGTTTTGATGATTAAGTCTCCCAAGACATAAATACCGAAATCTGAAAAAGTTAAAAAAAAAAGAATGAGTACGACGACTCAGCATGTAACTGATATCCCCTTAGTTGGATTAAACATGCTATAAAATATTTAGGTCAAAACATTAACTAAGTGTTTTGAAACTATTTTAGGTAATCTCATATTAAAACACATTTCCATAAATCATCTGAAAATCAGAATCTAGATTTCAAAGTGAAATAAAGCATTACAAAATCATAAAGTTTATTAATCTCCCATAACATACTACGACCACACTTAATCCCTGTGGTATAGGTTAAAATCAAAATTTTTTACTTTAGTGCAATGGGACAAAAATATATTAGAAGCAACTCGGTAGTTGCATTGAACAATTATAATTAACCTGTTAGTACAATGAGATATAACAAAAATCACAGTAACCATTTTAGTGCAATGAGACAGAAGTATATCACCGTTAACAAGGTGAACAAAAACCATTATTCTCACCCAGTGACACGGTTCAAAACCAGTATCGATATCATAAAGTACATGTCAACATGACCAACAATTAACCCTTATTGGCAAGGTTAGAACATAGTTATACTGAGACAAAAGCCAAAATATATTTTCAGATTGCTCAAAATATACAAATTTAATATTTATAAATTTTCTCAAAACATAATCTATACAAAGTAAAAGTTCATAATCATTCCAAAGAAAAATTTCATATTCCAAAAAACAATGAATATGTAAATATATTATTACAAAATATATTCGAAAATCAAAATAATATCAAACTATGTACCAAAATCATAACAAAGAAATTATATATACATTTTGCATGCTCGATTCGATTTACAAAACAAATAGATAAAACAATATATATTATATATTTCAACTTTAAATATATTGAAGCTGATTTTTAGGGACATGAAAACCAAAGGGATATCAAGTCATTTATTTGATGTGCTAAATTGAAATTTAAGCAGTGAATCACTCATTTCTCTTAATATCCTAACAATTCAAGAAATATTAAAAAATTAGAATTTAACCTAAAAACATAAATTTAACAAGTCTTTCGCGGGTCATCTTAAGCAAATTAGGTTGTGTGACAACCTTTTCAATAATTCGAAACTATTGGAAAATATTTTCTTTTAGCATATAAAATAAATTTTCTTTTAATATAGTAAAATGCTTAGAATTGAGTATAAATATGAAATTAATGATTAAAACATAAAAATCAGTAGCAATATAAATTTTTACAAATATTTAACTTTTAACATTTAATAGTAATCATTTTTTTTTGTAAATCTGAATTTAATTTAATAGTGCTTTAACAATGCTAATAACATGAAATTAATACAGTAAAAATATATTAAAATAAGTAAAAATTCATTAAAATAATATGACTAAAATTTAAGTAATTTATAACTAAATACATCAAATATTGGCTAGAAATAATTTTTAAAATAATTAAAAATGAGAATTTCTAAATTTTGAAAATTTCACATTCTGTGCTCATTTGGTTTATTTGGAGCCACGAAAGCTCGAACATTTTGTAGTTTATAATGACAAAGGGAAGCATGAATTTAAAGTAGGGATGTAATACTACAACATAGAATTTTGTTTCAGCAAAAATAATTTTTAGAAGCCTAAGTTTTGAAGGCCAAAACTTGACAAATTATCACAAATAGCCTAGATTTTTTGGGTTTTAAATTCATGAAGCCTACTAAGGCTTCGATTCTCTTAGCCTATAAATCATCTAAATAAACTAATTATACCACTAGAAAGTTCACATTCATGTTATCAAAAGAACCTAAAGTTCAACCAAATCAGCCACCGAAGTAGGGAGTTCTGACATCTTAAAGTTATTTTTAGAAACTCAAAAGTTAGAAATTTGAAACACTAAATCCTCTTAAATTACTCAATTAAATGAAATACCACACATACCATTAGAAATGTTTTGAAAAGACCTTTCCATTGGTACCTATAATTTTGTTTGACTGTCACTGGAAAATTGCCAGAATATTTTTTGAATTTGAAAAGATATAAAAATATAAGTTAGGATTTATAGAAAATTGCATAAAACAAGAAAATTACAAGAGTTTTAAGCAAAATCTTACCTTAATTAGTGATTTCTAGGATTGATTTGCCCTATCTCTTCCTCTCTTCTTCTTCTCGAACATTTTTTAAAGTTTTCTCTCTCTTTTTTTGTGACAGAAAACTATGGATAAAAGTTGTTGATAAGTTATTTTTTTTATTTTCTTCTCTTTTATTTTTTTTAATCAATGATACTCAAAGGCTGGGTCATTGATCAAGTTATAGTCACTTGGGCTTGGGTATTACATACTCCTCCATTTAAAAAAATTTGGTCCTCCAAATTCAAAATTAGTACTTCAAAATTTATTTGTTTTTCAATTTAATGTCACATACAATCTTCTTCTTAAATAGATCCATGGTGTATCACCTTAATAGCTTCAATTAAATCTTCTCTTTATTATTTCTCACATACCAAATCGATATAATCTCTAATATATATAAATGTATCCATTATAGCTTAATAAACAAATATTCTGAGTATCTAATCTTAATTCTTGCTCCAAGATGCAATCACAAAGCATAACTTTCTTGCAAATTTCATATACTTGAAGCATACCTAGTGCTTAACTTAAACATAGCTAGGTAAAATTACCTTAATGTAATTTTGACTCTTCAAATGATTCTTTACTAACAAAATCAAGCATAACAATTGTACTACAATTTCACAACTCTTGTAAAATCTCAAATTTTTAAATATCAAAATCTATAATCTAATTACTGTTAACCTACAATCAATCTCTGATTTAAAAGAATTCATTATTTGCTAAATTAGCAATAATCTAAAATCAATAACTTAAATTGAATCATGCTTTTATTGTGCATGTTAATATTTCATTCAATCTATAACCCAAAAACATCAAATTGACTTTATAGTATTTCTTGTACCAACAAAATCACTTGTCCATAACATCCCTTATAATGAAATTTCTAATTCATTCTAATAATCATGTCCACATATGTCCTTAAATCCTAGTAACAATATCACCAAATAGCTACCTCAAAAACATTATATACTGATTTTTTTCTCTATCATAATTTTTTTTTTCTTAACCATTATAAGATTGTGCTAAATGTCAAACCAATACAATTGTTTATATCCAAAAATACACCACAAAAATCTAAACATAAAACTTTGAGTTTGTGATACAACTCCTTGTTCATATATCATTACTATCCAAATTTCAATGATCAAATTCCACATAACCATTTCACTATTTAATAGGCTTATAACCATCTAATATCCCAAATTTTCTTTCAAAAAAGTATATTATTTATCAGCTTCAAGTCAATGTCAAAAATCTATTTAAAATAAGGAATCTTTTTACTAGAATTTCAATCAATATACTCCAAGAGTAAAATTCATATCAAAAGTACAATTATAGAGACACTTAAATATATTGCTTCATGTTGAAATTTTCTTAAATTCTTTGAAATTGCATCAATACTCAAAATTATCGAATAACAGAATCATCATTAAAGTTGACCTTATCATTATAAAAGTCATTCTTTGTACTTATAACATGTAGTCTTTATTCATAAAATACATCATAGGCACATGATAAGTGTCATCTCCATAAAACATTATTCATCAATTCTCATACTATTCTTCAATTTGAAATTATAATCACAACCTAATCACATTGACCATTTCAAATTTCAACCACTTCAAAACAGAAATAGAAAGCTCGACTTCAAATAATTCCATGGAACACCAAGTCACATAATCAAGCTTACAATTTTTGTTTTTGACTGACAAAATATTTCTTATCAATATAATCATCGTAAATTGTAACGAGGATCAAGATAATGCTATAGATCATATCCTAAGTTTCTTGGCACACAACTTTAGATATAGTCCATTGAAAACCTAATATAACTCCAAATTCATATATGAATAGCTTTCAATTTCTATAAGCCAATTATCAAATAACAATCAAAATCTTCACAAAACTTATAAGCTTATAGCATCATAATGTTTCAAAAAAATTTCCTTGTAGTCCAATAAATTACTATTAAAAAAAAACTTGTTAAAAAAATTTTTATCCAATATGTCCTCTATGCTTATTTCATCATGATTTAATCTTAGTAAAACATACTTCGTAATTCTTAATACTAAGTCAAAATTCATTTTTTTTTAATGACATTTTTCAATGAGTACAACCTTAGTTTCCATGTCAAAATCATAACATATGTCTGATACCATAATATGTGATCTTTTCTATTAACATTATTCAAGCAAACTCATATTTTGTCTTAATAAAAAATCATAATCACTATTTTATCAC